CCAGGGTTCAATTTCTTGCACCTACATGACATCTCTTAACTGTCTGTAACTCCAGTGCCAGGGAACTTGTAGTAATGAGGCGAGAAAGCCTGCTTTTTGTGCTACTCGGCTCCCACACGACTAGCTTAACACCCGAAATAACAACACACAAAGTGTATTCATTTAAACACTGCCTGGCCCATTATCTTTAGTCCCTTATTGGCTAACTATCACATATTGATCTAACCCATTTCTAATATCTGTATTGCTACTTGACTGAGGCTTACCAGCATGAGTCTAACCAGCGTCCTTCTCAGAGAAATGAGAAGAGTCATGGGGTCTGCCTGACTCTGCTTACTTCCTTCCAGAATTCTGTTCTGTCTACTCCACCCACCTAAGGGCTGGCCTATCAAAAGGCCAAGGCACTTTCTTTGTTAACCAATGAAAACAACACATAGACAGATGACCCTCCTACATCATTTCCCCTTTTTCTGTTCAAACAAAAAGAAAGGCTTTCACTTTAACATAGTAAAATTATATATAACAAAACAGTTTTCAAGCAAGAATTACAATTACAGTATTTAGATCTATTTTATCTTTTATCATAACTAAGGAAAACTATAACTATCCATTATTCAACTCGATCAAAGACTCCAGAAGGGTATAATATTTCCTAAGCAAACAAGAAATAAGCAACTTCTAAAACTCTAGAAATGACAGAGACATCTTGCTGCCTGGACAGTCACCCAAAGTTCTTTTGTACCATTGGGGCATCCATCTTCAGCCTACAGGCCCATAGTTTCAGCAGACATTTCCATGAAGCAGGAAATTTCAAAGACAATTCAGTCACTTTCTTCTGTATCCTGCAGAATGTCTCACAGACTCTTTCATGAATCAGGAACCCCAAAAGACTATCTCACCTTTCGGCAAATTCAGCAGTCCTCTCTCTGTGGTTCTTTGTGTCCAGTTTATGCTTCAGTCAAGGCAAGATCAGTTTCATACCCAAATGGCTATCAAACTCCATAAGGAGCCTCTTCGATACCCATCTTCCTCTTGAAGTATACTAGTGCTGCCAGGAGCAGACGTGTCTTATTGTCATGAAAAGTCCTAAGTTATTAAATCATTAAATGCCATATTCTATAGTCTTTGAGAGATATGAAGAATGTCTATCTGATTGAAATAGATCTCTGCATATGTAGAAATCTAACTAACATGACTACAAGCTTGACTATTAATGCTGATTATCCATTAACAACCTATATTTCCTAATGATACATTACATACATTTTTAATGAACTAAATAATCACAATACCTTAATCAATATCAGAAATACATACACATATAATAAAATTGACCTTAAATTTATATGAAAAAAGCAAAATTTCTACCAATGTAAATTATTCATCTCTATATCATATCCCCCTTTAAATGTAAAAGAACATTTATAAACAATATTTGGGAATATAGGTGCAGTTATTTCTCTCCAAACTGCTTCCTGTTACATGGGGGTGCTATTATTTAGGTCTTGCACGGTATAACCTGTGTGCTAGGTACATCTCAGTCACCAGTTGAGTGAAGTAATTTTTTGAGGGTGTTCACAGCAACCTTTCAGGAGGGCATGGTCTATCATACCATATTGGAACAGAAGCAATCCATAGGGTCTCATCCTCTGTGAAAACAAAAGAAGAACCTCCTTTCCAAAGCATCATATCCTTAGACACAAATTCTGAAGTCAAGATAGCTTTATAATATACATCCTGGTTTAGTTTTGCAGCCCACACAATGAACCGTCTCTCTGTACTTAGCTTTGTCACAATCAAAAAATTCAAAGAATATACAATATACAGAATCCAAACTCTCTGTGAATATTCCATTTTTGCGTGGTTTATTTTTATTTCTTTTAATCTATAACTATCTGTACTCTGTCTCTTTAAAACTTTACCCTTTTTAAGGCATTGATTTTATTCTCTATATTCTTTTTTTCTTCTCCCTCCCAAGCCTATGTATGTCTATCTAACACTAGGACCCATTTAGACTTCTTTTATGTCTGAATCTGTCCTATTGCATTGTCTGTTTTTGCTTGTGCTTTTAAATCACTAAGCGCTTAAGAATCTAAGCTGTGGCATTCCTAGGTCAAAAACAAGTACTGCCTGCTTGCCCCGCCTGGTCCAACATAGCGGAGTCACTTGCGCCTCTGAGTCGTGCACTGCTAGCCTGGCAGAGCTACTTGTGCCTCTGGGCCACAGCAGGCAATGTCCCCCTTTTAGGCACACAGCGAGTTTAATTGCCATCAAACAAACACTAACCCTTTACTCCAAATGCTCCATTCAAAAGCTCTGTCTCCCACAGGAGCCAGACAGAGATCATGATGGTAGAGATCGTGGTGGCAGCACAGCCCAGGAAGCCAAATTTTAAAACTGTGCATTTCTTTTTCACCTCCAGGTAGGAGCCACACTCAGCACTTTAACTCTGAGAATGAGCTTTTAATCTCAGTTACAGCCTAAACTGCCAGGCAGACCACTGCACATCCTAGAAACATCTCTGTGTATGGTGGTGGGAATCTGCCATGCTCTCCCGCTTGTGCACACCTAGTAAACCTGAACTCGCCACCTGCCCAAGTGCAGGTAGGGAGTGCTGTGCCATTGGCATCATCTCAGAGTTCTTTCTTCCTGATTCCGAGTGGGCATAGAAACATCCGGGCCCAGAAAAGCTCCATAGCTAGAGATTGCACTGGTGGCAGGGCCCAGGAACCTTCATTTTAAAATTGCATGGCTTTTTTTCCTGCTAAGGCTGCTGAGTCACGAAAACTTCTCTGTAGCACACCCTAGCAAACAGACAAAAGCTGTGTTAAACTCTCTCTCCTTTTTAAGCCCTCTCAGGTTTTTAAGTGGATTTAGTCCATCATGTTGGAGCGCCAAATGTAGTGACTAGGCAAGCAGGCCTGCTTTTCATCCTGCCCGGATCCCTCAAGGCTACTTAACACCTGAAATAACAACACACAAAGTGTATTCATTTAAACACTGCCTGGCCCATTATCTCTAGTCCCTTATTGGCTAACTATCACATATTGATCTAACCCATTTTGAATATCTGTATTGCCACTTGACTGTGGCTTACAGGCATGAGTCCAGCCAGTGTTCTTCTCAGAGAGGAGAGTCATGGCATCTGCCTGACTCTGCTTTCTTCCTCCCAGAATTCTGTTCTGTCTACTCCACCCACCTAAGGGCTGGCCTATCAAAAGACCAAGGCACTTTCCTTATTAACCAATGAAAATAACACATAGACAGATGACCCTCCTATATGCACATAAAATAAAAATGATGGGGAACCTCCTTCAGCCAATGACCTTTAAGAGGCTGTACGAGGTTGGGGTGTGACTTAAGAGGCTAAAATGCCTCAGTTATGGCCAGTTCAGCCTCTTCTTCCTGTGCTCCACACCTTGATGTTGGACCCCTGTTCCTGCCCAATGAGTTTTACCTTTTAATAAAGAAAAACCTTAGAATACTCTATTCAGAAGTATCTTGAGATTATTTGACTCGTGTTTCCCCAATTTGACAAGTTCAGCACCATAAAAATAATTAAAAACATAACTGGATGATGGTGGTACACAACTTTAATCCCAACACTCATGAAGCATAGGCAGATGGATCTCTGTGAGTTCAAGCTCAGGCTAGGCTACAGAACTAGTTCCAGGACAGCCAAGGTTACACAAAAAAAAAAACCCTGTCTCAAAAATGTGGTGTCATAGCCGGGCGGTGGTGGCGCACGCCTTTAATCCCAGCACTCGGGAGGCAGAGGCAGGCGGATCTCTGTGAGTTCGAGACCAGCCTGGTATACAAGAGCTAGTTCCAGGACAGAGAAACCCTGTCTCGAAAAATCACAAAAAAAATGTGGTGTCATTATAATGATGGACTTCAGAAGTATTTATAATTTAATATTTAATGATGATGTGATGGTGGGCCACCATTTGTGGATTCCTAAACCTTTAACAAAATAGTATAATTTTTTCTTCCTCTATCTCTCTCCATATTTCCATCTCTCTTTTTTCCCTTCTCCTTCCCTCCCTCCCTTTGTCCTGTATCCTCCCCTAGCTTTCCCTCCCTCTTCCCTCTCCCCTCATCTCCTCCTCCCTCTCTTTGACTCCTTCCTCATTTTCCTTCTCCCTTTCCCATTCCCTTCCACTTCTTCCATCTTCCTCCCTCATGTTCCCTCAATCCCTGGCCCTTTCCTCATTCTTTTCTTTCCTCCCTTCTTCTCTATAGGTCAGGAAGTATACCATCCTCAGGAATTAGACATCTAGACAATGTGAACTTGTAGTTCCTAGTCTCTGAAATTTAGAAAATTAAGTATCAGTTAGGGTGAGGTATATCTCCCAACCACTTCACATTTTATTATAGAAACCAGAAGATGTAAAGATTTTGCACCTTTACTCTGAAGCACATCTTCTGAGGTTATGTATTTACTATTTTTGCAAGTCCAATTATCCCACCACCTACAAGACCAAGGAAAATGGTATATACTATTATTATATCCTGTTATGTAATTTAATCTTTTCCCCAACATCCCATGTTCTTAATTCAGTATATTTCCACTTAATGGCTTTCATAAGAAAAACCCTCATTCACACTTTTTTTCAGTCTTCCTTAACTAATAAAGAGGAATTAAACATCACAGTGGTTCAGCTGAAGTTCTTAGACTTAAACATTCTAAAAGCAGAAGTTAGCAGTTTATCTTAGCATCCCTGTTTGACCAAGTGACTTATAAAGAATGTGTGCTAAGTGAACATTTGGAGAAGGTAGTAAGAACAAATTCTGAGTAATGTTAATTTAATTTCTTCAAATTTATTTTATAAGTCAAGAATAAAACTTAGTTGCAGGTAACTTTACCAAACCACATAGTAAAAACAGAGAACAAAAACTAAATTTGACTATCTTTTCATCCTTCTAATAGTATAATTATTTCAAATTTTCAAGAAAACTTTTTTCATGCTGTATGTCCTTATCTGAATGACTGGAAAACTTCAAACATCAAAAGGGATGGAAGAACTTGCTGGTAATTTTACTGGGGAATCTCTACTAGCAGAGTCAGTGGTATCAGAACCGCCTTCATCTTGGGCTTCTGCTCGTTCTTGCTCATTTTTCAAAGACTTGAAGTAAATGTCAGCGATGGCACTAGGTGTTGTTTCATTTATCTTGGCCAAAAATTCCAGGACTTTTATCTTGCTTATTTCAGCATAGGCTTGGGGACCCCACAGGAACTCATAGCGTGGAGGATCACTGTTGGCCACCTGCCGGTACTCCAGGTACTTCAGCTTCACAAAATACTGGGTCATGAGCTTCCGGGGCTCACCAAAGATGCGGTGTTTCTTCCCTGGATAGATCTGCCTCTTCCTCAGGATTTTCCATATGTCTTCTTCACTGGCACAATTACCACTCACGAAGATGATACTCAAGACACTCATCAGGAAACCAGTCTTGGGTAAGCCTTTGCCAGCACGAATCCTCCCATTGTTGGGGAGCTTCAGCTTGCTGATGAGGTTGTATGAGGGCTCACTGGAGTTGACTTCCCTCACTTCCATTGCAAAGGCTTCCTCGAGCTTCTCGGAGGCTTTCCTGAAGATCTCAGGGAAGTCATTTTCATACTTCTTGGTGATAATCTTCAGCATTTCTTCCTTGGTACTAGGCTGCTTCATATAGTAGTTGTGGAGCAGGCACCGTAAGAGCGCCACTGCCTTTTTGGCTATCATATCTTGGTGCGGGCCGCTGGGGCAGGGATTGAGCTCAAAAGGGCATTCTTCTTCTTCTTCTTCTTCTTCTTCTTCTTCTTCTTCTTCTTCTTCTTCTTCATATGTATCATTTTCCTCATAGAAACTTTCATCTGATTCAGAGGAAGAAATACTCAGAGCAGTTGAGGCAGATGGTGCTGCTTTTTGAGGAGCCTTTAGAGTGCTTGAAGACTCAGCCGCAGGCTGGCTCTGGGAGGCAGCAGAGGACTCTTCTGCAGCCTCCGGCCTTTCCTCTGCTGGTTCCTGAGCACCTCTGCAAGCCTGAGCCTCACCTCTGGCCTGGGAGCGTTTCTCTCGGGCATGGAGCTTACTCTTATGGCCACGAGGCATGATGACTCTGGCTAAGGACAAGAACAGAATATGTTAGAAGGGTGCTGGTGATGAAAGCAGCTGTAAGAAACAGAAGAAGACGATATGAACACTTTAGTCAGAGAACAAATACCTTGTTTGAAACTAAGGCTGCCTCTGCACGTTTCCACTAGTGCAATGATTTTGGAATTCAACATGCTACTGTAATATAAATCTCATTCCCCAAGTAAGAAGGGAGAGGCATATTTTAGACTGGGACTCTCTGTCTTGCCTCTTGTTCTGGGCTAATGAGCAGGGGTGGCAGTGGAGGACTTCTCTTTTGAGATCCCAGGAACCTCTTTCAGTTCCTCTCAGTTCATATTACCAGTTGTAAAGTGTTAGGCCTCTTTCTTTTCCTACTCCGAAGCTGCCATTTTTGTGCAATTCTAGTGTCTATTTAGAAAATATTCTTCTTGTTGGCTACCTGAAATACCCAGAAAGCCTTTTAGTGTGGATTTAGTCCATCCTCCTTACAAGAAAAAAAAAACCCTGTCACTACTATTAGTAGTTTACTCCTGAAACCGGAGTAAACCAGTGGCTCTTCCATCACAACTACCCAGTCAGTTCAGACTGTCCTTAATGGAGGACTTATATAGGTCCTTCTGCATCCTTGCCTTGGTTTCTGGCCATATGCAATATTCTTCGCTATGCTGATTTGAGGTCTCTCTACACACACTGAGTTCCTCATATCCCCGTGTAGAAATGGATCAATAGATTTTCATGGGGACACTCAGGATTGAGGCCAGGGATATGCATCAAGCCTCCTGACTCACCTAGGGTGGTTAATTCCTTCAGAACTCACTCAATGCTGTGCCTTTTAATTTCCTATGCAACATGCTACTCCTTTTGCTTTATGAAAGCAGGTTTACCTTGACAGGTATTTGAGAATCTCAGCTACATGTAAGTCATCTTCACTGGTATCTTCACCTCAGTAAGTTTCCTTACATTTTCTCTTACCATAGGCTTTTCCTACCTCTGTTCCCTGACTTTCTTTAGTGTCTCTTTCCAGAGACTATAGAAGCAAAATGAGTGTGGAGCTCTACTGGTCCGCTCTCCTCAGGACTTCTTAAGACTGAGAACAGTGGAGCCGGAGAGATGATTCAGTGCTTAAGAGTCCATACTGTTTATACAGAAAACCCGAGTTGCATTTTCAGCACCCAAGGAGTATGGATCACGATCACAAGTGACTTGGGCTCCAGCCTACCCAGCACCCTCTTGTGGCTTCTGCCTGCAATTGCACTCATATGCATATACCACATGAAGATAGGGCTAATTAAAAACGAAATAAAGCAGGGAGGTTGTGGCCTACACCTTTAATCTCAACACTCGGGAGGATGAGGAAGGTGGATCTCTGTGAACCGAGGCCAGCATGGTCTACACGAAATAAATGTTAAGAAAAAAAATGACTGAGTACAAGGGTGAAACTGGTGACAGTGGATTTTTTTTTTTATGAGGAATCACACAGCAGAGAGTGACCAATGAGTTTTCTGGATTGGGAACATAAAACTCCAACATTGACAAAGACAACAAAAATGGCGGCGGCAGCTTATTTGCCGCCGCGTCCCGGCCTGTCGTCCCCCCCTCCTCTGCCTGCGCGTGTGCTTTGGCTTGTGGAGAGAGGGCTATCTTCTAGGCTGGCAAAAATGGAAAAAGTCACTCATAACAAGGACCTAGTTTGTGGGGTTGAAGAATACGGACTGGGGAAACTAGTCTCTGTGACTGGCCATAACTAAAACAAGGGCACTGGCGGGCCAAAGGAGATGCAGTGCAGCAAAGGTATCTCCTGTGGTAAATCTACAAGAATGGGTTGCTGATCTCTTGCTTGTGAAGAACTTGAAGTTCTTTTTTGGTGGAGAGAGATGAAGAATTAATTCCCCGTTATTTTGTCTAAGGAGAAGTGATAGTGTAGTTCTCATCTACCGTCATCCAAGTCTAACACGAATGGTTCCTGTGAGGACTGTGGAAACGAGATGACCACTTGTTCCCTAGTGGATATGGCGAGAGATGGGTGGCAACGAGGGGTAGGGGTAGGCAGTGGGAGGTACTCTATGTTGGGAATTTCTCAGTCTCATTCGCCTCCTCACCTTGACTCTGGCTGAAACTTGGACTTGTTTCTTGCTTCTGCTGAAGTAGTGGTTAGCTTTCGACAGAGCTGCAGCCGCTGCTCCTCTGGCCTCACGCCACCTTTTGACGCTCCGAGGAGGACGTCACTGCGCAGTCACCAATGAAAGTAACGTGAAGAAAGAGAGGCTCGCTGAATATGTTTCTCTTCTGGCGCCACCTCTGGTGTGGAGCAAGTGGGCTCCCTGTGAATCTTAAGTCTGAATAGTTGACACTTTGTGCTTTATGTTGACTCTGCTGCCACTCTTGTTAGTAAGACGTCAACACGTTTATTTCTGAGACTCTTGTTGGGGAAGTCCACAATAAGTAGGAAAGCTGGTCGTCTAGGTCTAATCACAGGTACTGGAGTGTCTCTGTGTGAAAAGTTTTGATTGGGTGTTCTCAGTAATTCCCCCAGGTCGTAATCATGGGTTCTATTTTTTTTAATAAAAGATTTCTTCACAAATACTAAATACCTGCACACTTTTTCTAATATTAGAACAAATCTGTTTCTAAAGAGTCTTTGCAGACAAGAAAGCTAAAAATTGAAGCAGTGGACTTAGTGTAGGAAATGTCACTCAGGATACATACTTATTGATTTTTTTTCCTTTTCTTATCATGCACACTTGATTTTGTTAAGCATCTTTTGCTAAAACTCAACAACTAAGGAAATGATGAATCAAGTTATTCTATTAGCTGCTATTTTTCATGAAAATCAAGAAATTTTATAATTATTTTGATTTGGTCCTTGGGAAAGAAAAGTACAGTCTCAAATAAGACTATTTTCTATAGGATGATTACAGAATTAGATTGTGGCCAAATAGAATGCATTTGACTATAATGTTTTATGGAAGATATACAGGCTGAAATTATAGTACAAATATGTATAATTTTTAAAAGATATGACAAATTGAATCCAGTTGTCTTATGTAAATATGTTTTCACATTTTGATCCTTGAGCAGATAGAACTAACTATACATAAAATGTTCAAAGAAATGTATTTGCTTTATTTTATTTTTTAATTTAAATTTAATTTGAGAATTTAATAATATAATATTAATTTTTATTTCCCCCACTGCTTCTCTTTAATCCTTTGAAACAAAGTAAACCTCATAAACTCGGATATTCATATTTTAGAAAAAAAATCATTTCCTCATTATTTGCTCCATTTATTTGATGTTCTTTTTCTCTACTATGGATCCAATCCTAATAAATTCAGCAAAATACTTTAATTAATTATCTGAAATGCACATAGAAGTATTGAGGAGGAAAATAAATAAAGATCAGCATATCTACATAACTGTGACTATAGTGGAATAGCACAGGCCTAGGTGATTTCTGATTAGTAATATATCTTCACTCCATCACGACCATAATAATATGAGAAAAGAGAATTTTATGGTTTGCAGTTTACTTATTATACAGTTGACTTGATGAGGTTTTGTATATTATTAACATTTGTTGCATTCCTTAAAATTCACATATGGAAATACATTATTCTTCTTTACTCTTGCCCCACCCCCACCCCTATTTGTTGGTGTTACTGGGGATTCAACCCAGGAAAACCTATGATTTCCCATAGATACACATATTTTAACAGTTAGAAGCTAAGATCCACATATTACAGAGAACCTATGATATTTGTCTTCTCAGGAATTACAGTATAAAGGAGGATTTGTACTTAGTCCATTTACCACTTCCAATTTTACCAGATGCTCAGGCATTGGACTGTACTACAGATTAATTTTAAACCTTCTCCTATAATGGAGTATTGCTTTCAAAGTTCTTCTTAAACAGTGCTTCTGTGTAGCTTCTACTCACCAATTCTATGGTCTCACATAATTCACATGTTACTTAAATCCAATTGCATCACATACTGACTTGATGTCTCCTTAAATTATAAATAACTTGTCTTAGAAATTTTAATATGATTCTCTGTCAGGAGCCATTTTCCCAAAGATTTTATAGCAGGGACTATTGTCCTGGGGATGTTTGCGGAGATCCCCACACCCCAACTGCATTGAGAACTGTTTGTTGGCAGAGCCCACCCCACACCCAACTATCTTGAGAGCTATCTGTTAGCAAAACCCGCCCCACATCTCAACTATCTAGAGAACTGTTTGTGGTTGTAATCACAAAAGGAACGATCCTGCTTGCATAGAGAACACTAGGTGTGTTGACTTGTGATAGACTCGTGACCTCATGACTCGTGACCAAGTGTCGACTCGTGACCATTGCTGCAAGATCCATTCCTGCCCTTGCCACGCCCCTGCCCCCATCCCAAGCCAAATTCCTCATTCAAGGGCTCTACAAGCCACAACCATTTCACTAATAAAGTCAGGCCTTGACAACAGATCTTGCTTGGCCTCGTTCCTCTTTCCCACCCATGTCTTTTTCAGATAGCACCTCTTTGGGACCCTGGAATAACTGACCCGCTGGGCAGGGTTAATTCTCAATTATTTTTTTCATATTTTCCTGTAATGCATAGGGGTTATTTTAACATTTACCTCATATTATTACAGTTTCTAGATTCTAAAATTGTATGAGAAGAAATGGAATATTTTCCCCATCATTCCCAATATGAACAAAGAAATGTCTACAGAACAATAAGCTGATGTTGAGAATAGATGGACATTGAATAAGAAGACTGGTGTTATAGAAAAGCCGCTAGTTCCTGGCTGCTCAGTCCCAAAATAGCCACACAGAAATTGTATTAATTAAATTACTGCTTGGCCCATTAGCTCTAGCTTCTTACTAACTAACTTTTACATCTAGTATTAACCCATTTCCAGTGTTTTATATTTTACCATGAGGCAAAATATCTGTGTTCCAGCATGTCTGTCTCCATGGTTTATCTTCTAAATTCTGCCTTCTTTCTTCCAGCATTCAATTTAGTTTTCCCTGCCTATCTCTGTTTTTCCCTGCTCTGTTATAGGCTCAAGACAGTTTCTTTATTAACCAATGGTATTCACAGCATACAGAGGAAAATACCACATCACCTCCCCTTTTCTGTTTAAATAAAAAGAAAGGTTTTAACTTTAACATAATAAAATTACAGAAAACATAATTAAGAATTATAGTTACAATATTTATATCTTCTTTATCTTTTATCATAATTAACAAAACTATAACTATCTATTATTCATCTCTATCAAAGAATTCAGAAGGATATAATATTACCTAAGTAAGCAGTAAGTTCTTTTTAAACAACTTCCAAAACTCTAGATTTGACAGAGGCATCTCACTGACTTGACAGTCACCCAAAGTTTTTCTGTAGCATTGGGGCATTTAATCTTCAGCCTACAGGCCCATAGTATCCAGCAGACTTTTCCATGAAGTAGAAAATTTCAAAGAAAATTCCACCTATATTGGCAAATTTCAGTCAATTTATTCTGTGTCCTGCAGAATGTATGGCAGAATCTTTCATGAAACAGGAACTTTAAAGGATCGTCTCACATTTAGGCAAGTTTGGCAGTCATTTCTCTGTGGGTCCTGTATGTCCAGTTCATCAAGTAGTCCAAATGACTAACCAACTCCATAAGGAACCTCTTTGATGCCCATCTTCCTCTTGAAGTAGATTGGTGCTGCCAGGAGCAGATGTGTCTCATTTTCATGAAAAGTCCCAAATTCTTAAAACATTTTAAATTCCATATTCTGAAGGTCTCTAAAAGATTTGAAGAATACCTATCTAAGTGAAATATATCTCTATATATTTTGAAAACATAACTAACATGACTACAAGCTTGACTGTTATAGTTGACTCTCTATTAACACATATTTCTTAATTATATGTTACATTTTTAAATGAGCTGGACAAACACAATACCTTAATTAAGATCAGAAATACATATGCACAGTATAATAAAATTGACTTAAATTTGTATCAATAAACCGAGATTCATGCCAATCCAAATCTCTATAGCATATCCCTCTTTAAATATAAACAATCATTTAGGGAATTTGGGTTTAGATCTCTTTAAACTACTTCCTGCTGCTTATTGGGTGAAGTAATTTTTGAGGGGTATTCAAGGCAACTTTTCAGGGTGTCTTGGTCCATCAATCCATATCAGTCTGGAAGGATTCCACAGGTTCTCATCCTCTGTGGAAACAAAGAAGAACCTCTTTTCCAAAGCAACATATCCTTAGACTCAAATTTTGAAGTCAAGATACCTTTATGTTGGTTACTTAGCTCCTTCACAGTCAAAAAATTCAAAGAAAACACAATAATATATGTAACCCAGACTCTCTCTGTATATTTAATCTTTATGTGGCTTATTGTTCTTTACTCCTTTTAATCTATGACTGTACTCTGTCTCTTTAAAGACTTTATTTTATTTTTTATAACCATTTACTTCCTTTTATAACTGTCTATATTTTTCTTCTTTCTCCCAAGGCTATGTACATTTTTAAAATACACTGTGTCTCTTTTAGAGGTTTTTAAATATTAATTTGTCTTATTGTGTATCTCTGATTATTTTCTGACCCAAAGTGCTTTTGAAAATGCTAAGCCCTTCTTATGAACTTAAGTGGTGCCATTTCTAGGGGAAATATGGCACTGCTTTCTCGTCCTGCCCAGTCCAGCATGGTGGAGCTGTTTGCTGCCTCTGAGGGCCATGTATATTGTCACATTTTTAGACATACAGCTGGTCTGTGTTGCTATTACCCAAGTTGTAGCACTCTGCTCACAAAACCCATTTAAATGCTCCATAGCTGTACCTCATCAGAGTTTGCACTGGTAGCATGGCCCAGGAAGCCACAGTTTCAAAATAATGCAGTTTTTTCTTGCTAATGTACTGAATCAGGAAAGCCTCTCTTAAAGGCACCATGCCTTCCTTCTCCCAGCATTCAGTTTAGTTTTGCCCACCTAGCTCTGTTCTGCCCTGCTCTGCTATAGGTTCAAGACAGTTTCTTTATTAACCAATGTTATTGACAACATAAAGAAAAGAATCCCACATTAGCCTGGCTTATTAAAACTTATTGTCCCCTACCAATTAAATTAATCTTATCACATCACTTTATAAATTAATTAGTTTTATATGAGAAAATATGAGTAGAAATAATGCCATGTGGAGAGAATTGCCCCATATCTCCTCTTGATGGCAGTAGAGAAGTTTATTGCATTAACTTCAGAGGAATAGAAGATTATGGGGATTGTGAGCTTACTGATAATGTGAATTGTAGCTATAAGTGCAAACCAAGAGGATTCTGAATCATGCTCAGATATTCATTAGAATAATTTGGAGAATGTGATATTCAAAATCTAAGACATAGAAAGTTTTATTTTACCTTATTTATCTTCACTTTTTGATTCCCCTTTAAGTCATATTCATACAGTTTCTAATATATATATATATATATATATATATATATATATATATTCAAATTATGCAAATATCTACTTAAGGAAAGATAGAGATCTTATTCTTAATATTGCATTACTTTACTATTTTAACTATCCCAATAATTGATTTAAATCATAGGAAAGAGTAGTGACTTTGGTTGTCATCCTTGAAGCTACATATAAGGAAATATATCTGTAAAATATTTAAGGGTAAGTATTCTTCTATTTCCATGATAAAACACCATTTCCAAACATGAGAAAAGGGTATACTTGGCTTATGCTTCCACGTGGCAGTCCATCATCTTAAGAAATCAGGGCAGGAATTCAAAGCACAAACTTAGAAGAATGAACTGCAGCAGGAGCTGTGAAAGAATCATGGGGGAGTGCTGCTTATTGCTTTGTTCCACCTAGCTTGCTCAGTTTTTTCTTATATACTCCAGTATCACCTGCCTAGGCAAAACACCACCCACAAGGGACTAAGCACCCATTCTGAGCATGGAGTTTGTGAAAATATTTCCTATTCTGTAGGTTGCCATTTTGTCCTATAAGTAGTGTCATTTGCCTTACAGAAGCTTTACAGTTTCATGAGGTCTCATTTATTAATTATCAATCTTAGTACCTGCACTATCAGTGTTTGTTCAGGAAGTTGTCTCCTGTGTCGAGTTCAAGGCTGCTTCCTATGTTGTCTTTTAATAGACTTAGTGTGACTGGTTTTATTTTGAGGCCTTTGATTTATTTGGACTTGGGTTTTGTGCAGGACAATAAGTACAGGTCTATTTGCATTCCTCTACATGCAGACACCCAATTAGACCAGCACATTTGAAGATGCTTTCTTTTTTCTATTGTGTATTTTTGGATTCTTTATAAAAATCAGGTGTCTGTAGAAGTGTGGATTCATGTCTGAGTCTTTGATTAGATTCCATTGATTAACTTGTCTATTTTTATGCCAATAATATTCAATTTTTATTACTATGTCCCTGTAGTACAGCTTGAAATCAAAGATGATGATATTTCTGAAAGTTCTTTTATTGTTCAGGATTGTTTTAGCTATCCTGAAATTTTTTTCATATGAAATTCAGTATTGTCCTTTTAAGGTCTGTGAAGAATTGTGTTAGAATTTTGATGGGTAATTTGTTTTGAATCTGTAGATAACTTTTGGTAGGATAGCAATTTTCATTATGTTAATTTTTCTGTTCAATGAGTGTGGGAAAGTCAATTTCTTAAAAGACATGATTTTTTTTTCATACAGGTCTTTTATTTCCTTTGTTAATGGTATTCCAAGGTATTTTATACTGTTTATGGCTACTGTTTCCCTAATTTCTTTCTCAGTCCATTTATTGTTTGAATAAAAGAAGACCTCTAATATGTATATTTTGGAATTTTTAAAGATATGTTCTCTATTACATTCTAATTGGTTGCTAATTTTTGTTTTTCTAGGCTCCTGGTGTCTCCACAGTTATCATTTGTACACTAGTTTTACAAATTATATTTTATAATTTAATATTTTTGCATCAATTACTTACATAAGTGTGCATTAATTTTAGTATTATTAACAGATATTAGCCATATATTACATTATGTTTCATTCTTATGCACACATGTAATGTATTTTGATCATATTCATCCCTATGATGCCCCCTCATAGCCTCCTCACATTCCTTATAGCTCTTTTTTTCCATTCAAATATTTACAACTCTTCCCCTCCTCCCATTCCTCTCCCATTCTGCCACTCACCCTCCTCCCTCCCCTTCCCTCCTTAAGAGAAGGCAGGGAACCCTGCCCTGTGGGAAGTCCAAAGCCCTCCCCCCTGCATCCTGGCCTAGGAAGCTGTGCATCCAAATAGACTAGGGTCCCAAAAAGCCAGTACATGCAGTAGAAACAAGTCACAGTGCCTTTATCAATGGCTTCTCAGTCAGCCCACATTGTCAGCCACATTCAGAGTCCTGTTTGATTGAACGCTCATTCAGTCCCCATCCAGGCTGGATTTGGTGGCGGTGTGCCTGTTCTAATGGGAGCTCACCAAATCCTTATATCTCTTTCCGTGTCATTAGTAATCCATTTTTTTACTTGTTTGGCTTATTTACACAATGTTCACAAAAGAAAAACTGTATGATGCTTCACTTTTCAAATATGGCTTACTTTGCTCTAGAATATGCCCTCCGGTTACATTAACTTCTTGCAAATGATAAAATTTTGTTCTTCTTGGTGGCTGAATGAAAGCATCATTGCATATGAATATGGTTGTGTCTCACATTTTTTTCATTCCGTCTATTGATGGAAACAGTCGGATTCTGTAACATGGCTATTGTGTATCGTGCCCTCACAAACACTGATATGAATTGGTATAGTCATGTTTCATTTGTCTATTTTTAAGTTTTTAATAAAACCCTAGATTAACTTTGAGAGTTGATCTAATTTACACTCCCACTAAAATATATTTTTATTTTTCTTTGCATTCTTGTCAGAATTTCCTTTGCTTTTTTTCTTGATGATATACATTGTAACAT